TTATCTGAGAAATTATAGAAATAAGTATTTTGTATCAATCCAAAGTAATAAGTGGGGATTATAGGGAGAGTGTTCCCTAACTGCAATTCTTTCTCATATTTTCAAAACCAACTCCATTATTATTCTTTTTTTCATTCTTGAAAATACAAAAACTCAAAAATAAGTCTTTATTTTTACTAAGATTCAATTTAATTTTCCCAACAAGAGATCAAGTTTTTCAACTTAAAGTGACTGATTATTTTAGTACTTGGTTTTCAATCCCTGAGGAGACGATCTTTCTTACTACTTTACTACTTATGTGAAACGGTATACTTGCCGGATAGCATCAGTAGTGGTGGTGACGACAGTGGCTGCGATGATGGTGGTGACGACAATAGCTATGATGATGGTGGTGGCGGCAGTGGTGGTGGCGACTGCGATGACGGTGGTGGTGGTGACGGCAGTGGCTACGATGATGGTGGTGGCGGTTGCTGGCGGTGGCGGGGGTGGCATGGTGGTGATGGTGACGGCAGTGGCTGTAGCAATAGTGGCGGTGGCAGTAGTGGTGGCGATGGTGGTGGTGGTGACGACAATGGCTTTGGTGATGGTGATGGCAGCGACAGTGGTGGTAATGACATGGTGGTGGTGGCGGTGGCTGCGACGACGGTGGTGGTATTTGGTGGTGGTGACGGCAGTGGCTGCGACGATGGTGGTGGTGGTTGGTGGCGATGACATGGTGGTGATGGTGACGGCAATGGCTGCAGCAATAGTGGCGGCGGCGGTGGTGGTAGTGGTGGCGATGGTGGTGGCGTGGTAGTGGTGGTGATGTGGCGATGGGTGGAGGTGGCGGTGGCGGTGGAATCGTGGTGGTGGTGACAACGACATTGGTGGTACGACGACAACAGCGACAATGGTAGTGGTGGTCGTGTCGAGATAATGGTGGTGGTGGAGAGTAGTTGAGATACACAAGTGTTTCTCATTTTGTGCCAGGGAATAAAAAAGCCGAATTTTTTTGATTCTTTTTTTTGTTCCCCAGCACAAAAATTAAATCGGTTCATTCCAGGAACAAAAAAATAAACCGGTTTTACCAAACAAGTTTTCTATCCATTTTTGTTCCCGGGAACAGAAATTAAAAAAGAATTGATTCCGGGAAGGTTGTGCATAGCATATACAGAGTCACATTGCCATCCCTCACGACCAAAATGTGATTTAGGTATTAATTTATTGTGTATATATTTGGCACTAGGACGATTAAAATTATATTATTTAGGCTTTAAATCATCACACGGCCCATATAAAAAACTGATAACCCATATTAAAAATACTTGAAACATTCCATGATTCTTGCATGAAAAAAGAAGAAGAGATTTTTACAACGTACTTTCAATAACATAAAAAAGATAGAAAATGACCTCTACAAATAAGCATCCAAATCAAAATGTTCGAAACAACAGTGAAATTTTGTAGTAACGTGGACCACCAAGGATAGGAGGAAGAAGAAAAAAGTTAAGAAGGAGAAGAATGTTAAGTTACCGTGTGATGGAGGGATAATTTTTAGATTCTCAGAAAATTCACACTGTAAATCTTAGTTACTCACGTTTGATATAAGAATTCTTAAAATTTTCACGAAAAACAAGATTCTTGGAAATTAAAATTTTAAATAAGAATCCTATGAAATAATAATATCAGGTGGGTGGTATTCTTTGATTCTCACGTGTTGGACAAATTTTACATAATTTATTGGACATAAATAATTCTGCTTTAATATTTTCATGACCAAAATAGTCTCTCTTGTAAAAGCCATAACTTATACTGCTTCACAAAATCGTGGGTTCCTCTCTTCCATTTCACGACGTCTTTTTACAGGATTCCTCTATGCTTTATGCCGCTTCTCTCTAGTGATCCCAACGCCGCTTTTGACCATTTTGTGGCGTATTAGAAAAAAAATTCAAAAATTTATCAAAGGTTAGTTTTGTAAAATCAACTCACATTCCCATGAATTATTGACAATCAAATAAATATAGAATTAGAAATTTGAGCAACATTCTTGAAAATATATTGGCATTCGAACAACTTTTTTGCAATATTCCTGAAAAATTTACTTTCTTAACATATTCCTAAAAATCATAATTCCCATAAACAAAAAAAAAATTATCTATCAAACGCTACCTAAGAGTTAAGTGAAAACTTTTAAAGCAGGATATAAATAAAATAAAAATATTAAAATTTCTAAAAATTTAATATGTTTTTGAATTAGAATTTCGGAAAAAAGTGACATATTTTTATAAGGAGAAGCCCATCAACTCCTTTACATAACTATAAAGTTTCTTTATTTTCATTCATAAAAAACGGTTTTATTTTTTCGAAAAACTTTTTTTTTGTTAAACTTTATTATAATATTGTTTAATCCTTTTATATTTTTTAGGGGAGCAGGGAAATTTAAAATAAAATAAGTAAAGAAAAAATACTCTGATAATAAAATGAATGAATATTGGTGAATAGGTAAACATTTTTTAAAAGCCTAATTGATAAATGACCATTGAAATCTCTCTTGCAAAACAACTTTACTAAGGTAAAATGATATAATTAATACAAATTTTAAAAATATCAATTAATACAAATTTAAAAATATTTTTCAAAATAATATAATTAATTAAGGGAGGGGTGTATAATTAGGGATGACAAAACAGGTCCACCCGGCTCAAACCGCTTGCAACCCAAAAAAAGAGACGGGTTAGGGTTGATTCGAAAAAAAAAGGTCAGAAAACCCAACCTGACCCGACTCGAGCTGGGTTAGGGTTGACTTTAAAAATGAAAAAAAAAATAGCCTAAATTTTTTTGAAAAAATGTGATAATTAAAGTAAGATAAAAGAAATATTAAAGCTTAGAAAAATGAATATGATATACGATAATTAAAATTATTAAACATAAACTTACATAAAAAAAAAAAAATTCTATTTTCTTTGAACAGATGCCCCCTTATTATTTTTTTATATTTTCGAATGAAAAAAAGATAATTCGTGAGATGACTCATTTGACCTGCAGGTTGGCTCGATTTTTTTTAGTTGGCTCGGGTCGGGTTGGCTCGAATTGTCAGCTTATTTTTATCAATTCAACCTGACTTATTTTGTGCGGATTACGAGTCAACCTGACGGGTAACTCATTTTTGCCATCCCTACTGTATAATTAGTTGAACATGTGTGATCCGCAATTTTCACGTGGCACAATTGATATAAAATTTGTTTAGTCATAAAATATTTAATATAATAAATAATCCTCACACAAAAATCTTGAAATATTTACAAATTTAAAAATATCAGACTTATTATTGTCAATTGTGAATTGATAATTAATTTCTCTTTCCATTTTTTTTGAAAGAATTCAAATATTTACTAAACGATCATACTAGCATCATTTAAAAAATATTAAATTACTATCATTTTAAATAATATATCAATCAATCTCGCATTGGGCATGCTCATTTCATGACCTGTCATATCTTTTTTCCCTCATTTCACATAAATATCGATTAGCATCATAAATATTAATTATAAGGAAATAACTAACTCAATCAATAATTCTGATGTACATTTTTGAAATTTTTACAAATTTAATTTTTTTTTTATTTTATATAAATAATCATTGATTCTAATAAAATTTATAAAATATTTAAATTTTCACTTCAAATAAGAAAAAATTAATTATTAGATCGTAATTAATGTTGATAAATTTGACATTTTTAAATTTGTAAAGATTTCAAAAATTATGCCTAAGAATTATTTATTATGATAATTATTGTTTGATTAAAAAAAATTTAATGCTAATTTTTAAAATTATAATAGTTGTGTTATTTATAATCTTAATCATATAAGTATGGAATAAAATGAAATCTGGCATACACCACCACATTATTTGCACGCGGGTGTGCACTAACTCACCTACTTATATCATGTGGCCGTTGCACATCTCTCCCCTCCAAAAATAATTGTATTATTTGGGAAATAAATTTTAAATCTGCATTGATGAGGTATTTTTAAAAAATTTATATAAAATAAGGGTTTGTTTTTTCTGATGTTAGTTTAGATAACTTTATCTAATGTTCATCAAAATGACGTCGTTTTGTGACGGAAATCATGGTATTTTTGTAATTTTAATTTATTTCAGGGTTATAATAGTCTTTATCACTCTAATTTTTTAATTTTTCAACCCCAAAACGACGTCGTTTCGATGAACATTAGATAAAGTTATCTAAAGTAACATCAGAAACTTTTTTCCCATAAAATAATTATAGAAAAAAACAATAAAAAATGAATAAATATTGGTGAACACCAGAGGACCATAACATACTTTTCAAAAGCCTAATTCTTAAATGCACATCTCTGCGCTATACAAATGATTGTATTATTTGGGGAAATAATTTTGAATTTTGAATTTTGAATTAAAGGAGCGTTATTCTTATAATTTTTTTTCACTTATAATTTTTTACAATCTATTTTTCACCGTTGATTTTTGTTAATCAAATAGTTATGATTTATTAGGTCATATATATTAATTAATTATTAATTTTAATAAATTATAATCATTGGATTTAAGGGAATTAATAGTAAAAATATGTTGTAAGAGATTGTAAAAATTTTAGGTTGTAAAAAAAAGGCTCTTTTTTTAATTAACGATGTATCTTTTAAAAAAAATTGTATTAAATAATTATAGTAAAAATTATAATAATAAAATGAATAAATATGGCTGAATAGCATACTTTTCAAAAACCTAATTCTTAAAAATGACCGTTGGAATCTCTCATTTAGAAATAAATTTATTGGCTTGCCAGTAGTTAGGCTTTCCTCTGTCCGCTCCTCTACACCTAACCATTATTTGACCGTTGAGAATCTTCTTCCTCTCACTCTCTCTATTGATTTCACAGTGACTGAGTGAGAGGCCATTACTTCACTTCTTCACTTCCATTCCACAAAACTTCACATTCAAAGAAGAAGAAAAAAAAAAAAAAGAATCAGAAGCAGAAAATGGAGTCACCACCATCTCAGGCTAAGAAATCTGGACTGAACCTCCCAGCTGGGATGTCAGGAACCTCACTACGCCTTGACACATTCTCTGCCTCTTGTTCTCTGCGTGCATTATCAAACCTCTCATCTCCTTCCCCTTCAAAAACATCAACATGCAGTGACAGGTTCATACCTTGCAGATCATCTTCGAGGCTCCACACTTTCGGCCTCATCGACAAGCCTTCACCTGTCAAAGAAGGGAGTAACGAAGCTTATTCTAGGTTGTTGAAATCAGAGCTTTTTGGACCTGACTTTGTTTCTCCTTCTTCGCCTGCAGGTTCAGGTTCACCCATTAGTCCTAACAAGAACATGCTGCGCTTCAGGACTGATCATTCTGGACCCACTTCACCATTTTCGCCTTCCATTTTAGGACAACAAAATGGGTTCTCTTCAGAATCTTCAACCCCTCCAAAGCCTCCTCGGAAAGTTCCCAAGACACCCCACAAGGCAAGTTCCTTTTTTTTTTCCCCATCCCTTGGTTCTTCATATGCAAAATTAGGTATTTTTTGAACAAAAAAAAAACATTTGCTTTTCCTGTATCTGAGACAATATGTTCTTATATAAAGTTGAATTTCAGTGCTATACATAAAACAAATTAGTGTATTGTCCACGTTTCAAACCTTGAGATCTCTTGCATGAGCAAAGTTTTAAGCTTTTGATAGAGTTTGTCCTCGATACAGAGAAAAACATATATTTTACCTGTTATGATTTAAAATTTGGATTGTTGATTGTTGATTGCTAAAACCTTTTGTGCAGGTTCTGGATGCTCCATCACTTCAAGATGATTTTTACTTGAATCTGGTAGACTGGTCCTCACAAAATGTTCTTGCTGTGGGACTAGGCACTTGTGTTTATCTCTGGAGCGCTTCAAACAGCAAAGTAAGTCTGAACTGTTCTTCCACCAGTTTCACAACATAAATAAGTAAATAAAACACCTTTTATTTTGTATATTTAAAGTGAACATATCTTCTATGTGGCTTTCAGGTGACAAAACTTTGTGACTTGGGGCCTTATGATGGTGTCTGTTCTGTCCAGTGGACCCGGGAGGGTTCTTTTATATCCGTTGGTACAAGTCTTGGTCAAGTTCAGGTACCTTGTTAGCTTTGGTAATATTTGGTATATCCATCCATTTATTAAATGATTGTGAATAAGTGAGCATTTTACCTTATGGTACAGATTTGGGATGGATCTCAGTGTAAGAAGGTCAGAACAATGAGTGGGCATCAGACAAGAACTGGTGTCTTGGCATGGAATTCTCGCATTTTGGCTTCAGGAAGTAGGGATAGGAACATACTTCAACATGACATGAGGGTTTCAAGTGACTTTGTTGGCAAGCTTGTTGGCCACAAGTCTGAGGTAAAACATTAGGGTTAAATTGGAAGTATACATTTTGAAAAAGTATACATTGAACCTTGTAATGTTAAATGGTTAATTGGAAGTAGAGAAATTAATTGTTGTTATCCCTCAATTGACTCTGTTGGCAAGCTTGTGTTGGCCACAAGTCTGAGGTAAAAGGTTAATTGGAAGTAGAGAAATTGATAATTGTTCTTATCCCTCATTTTGACAGGTATGTGGGTTGAAATGGTCTTGTGATGACAGGGAACTTGCTTCTGGTGGTAATGATAATCAGGTATGTATACCTCTCTTTCTTTCCTTGTCTTCCTTTTCTTTGCCAAGATTGAAATGAAACATATAGAGAAAGTGCTTTATTTTATACTTCCTGTTTTGTTTCACTAATGATTTACCTGTTCAATTTTATATAATATGAGCAGCTTTTGGTATGGAATCAACAGTCTCATCAACCAACTTTGAGACTTACAGAACACACTGCTGCTGTGAAGGCCATTGCTTGGTCACCTCACCAGAACAACCTCCTTGTGTCTGGAGGTGGAACTGCTGATAGGTGTATTCGTTTCTGGAACACTACAAATGGCCATCAATTGAACTGTGTTGACACTGGGAGCCAGGTTTTGTTTCTTATCTCTTTTTTTGTCCACTGAGACTTGCATAACAAGAATCCACATTCAGACAAAGAGAGCATCTCAGCAATCTTATTTAATGCTGCATTATCTGCAGGTCTGCAACCTTGCTTGGAGTAAAAATGTAAATGAGCTAGTAAGTACTCATGGATACTCCCAAAATCAGATTATGGTGTGGAAATATCCTTCACTGGCAAAGGTAATTTGGACATTTCTAGATATTTTAGAGAAATTCCAACCAGAATAAATTAAGTGTTACCTAACCAGAAAATAAGTGTCTTAACCTTATTTGGACAAATTTTGTTTAGGTTGCAACTCTAACTGGTCACAGCATGCGAGTGCTATACCTTGCAATGTCTCCTGATGGTCAGGTACTGATGGTCAACATAACATGCTTCCTTTTTATGTTATAAAAATAAATTACTCTTTTATTACATCATTTTTTAATTTTATGTGGAACACAATTGCAGACAATAGTAACTGGTGCTGGGGATGAGACACTGCGGTTTTGGAATGTTTTCCCATCAATGAAAGCACCTGTAAGCATGTGACCAATTTTCAATTATGCTTATTATTCTCTCCAATGCTTGGCCTCTCCTAACTTTTCTGTTTTTTTTTTTCCCATCTTTCTTGTTGCTTTTTTTCAGGCCCCAGTTAAAGATACAGGTCTTTGGTCACTGGGGCGCACCCAAATTCGATGATCCATCCTAGCCTTTGGTCATGCCTCAAATGTGGAACAAGGAAGAAGAACTATTTCTCTTGTTATTTCCAAAATTGAAAAGTGTGAAGGGCGGAAGTTGAGGAAAATTAACCTATCATGATAATTTGTAATTTATTATCTGTGTATATGAAATGATGGTACCACTTTTTATTGTAATTAATTATCTCTTGTTATTTCTTTATATGGAATGATAGTGTCATTTGTTATTGTAACATATATCAAACATGGACATATGAACTCATAAATTGTGAAGTCTTCATCTAAAATCAATATTTAAGTTTATTGTAGTTTCAAGTCATGGTCTCTTTTGCAACAAAAATCAGATTGAAGATAATGAATTGTAGTGTACATAATAAAAATAAATATATTTTTGTACATGCATATACATTGGCGAAGCCACTTTGGTGCCAACAGGTGTCTTGCCCACTCCCTTTCAGCAAATTTCACTTACTACCATAACTTCAAGTAGCACCAGTAGCTAAAAGCAGTTGCACCTTGTCATAATGGCACTGCCTAGTTTTCATTCAGTATCATGGCTTCATGTATTACCACCAAACCTTCCTCCTTGATGCTCACACACGGATGTTTCTCCCTCTCTTCACTCCTTCTTTAACCCCAAGCCCCAGATGGTAAGGTGGCTGACTAGCTGCGTGTCATCCATGCTTCCTCATTTTTTTTAAGGAAGAATACAGAAAGTACAAATAAGAAGAAGCACAAATGCAAAAAGAGGGTGTTGAAACAGAATAGTACCACACAGATTTTCATAGAACAATCTTATTAGAATTCAAAAACAGGTGTTGGCTTTATAGCCTTACAACATAAAAAAAAAAAACTGAAGCATAACAGATCCACGTATTACATGGCTTGCAACGTGGTGACTAATTAAAAGAATAACAGAACTCATATCTCCACATCCCTAAAGCATAGGACTTTATTTAACAAACAGATAAACCCAAATAACAGTAAAAATACTAACTGACTATTAGTCCAACATTCCCTCCCTTAAACTATATGCATAAAAGCATTTAGTTTATCATTGAAGCTTCAACCATTCCCAGCATATTCCAGAGTTTTAAGAACTGTTCTAACTTGAGAGGCTTTGTCATTATGTCTGCAACTTGTTCTTGAGAATTGCAGTAGCTCAACTCCACAACTTTGTCTCTTGTCAAATCTCTAAGAAAATGAAACCTTATATCAATATACTTGCTCCTACCATGAAAAACTGGATTCTTGGACAGCTTTATAGTAGAGCTATTGTCACATTGAATTGCAGTACTCTTCTCTTCTTTATGACCAAGTTTCTCTAACACCCTTCTCAGCCAAACGCACTGACAGGCACAAAATGCAGCAGCTATATACTCAGCCTCTGTAGTAGACAATGTCACTACAGGCTGTTTCTTAGAAGACCATGAAATTGCCCCAGAACCAAGCAAGAAAACAAAGCCAGATGTACTCTTCCGATCATCTAAATCACCGGCAAAATCATTGTCGGTGTAAGCTACTAGATCTGTGGAACCTCTATTTTTGTAGAAAATTCCAAGCTCGGTTGTACCTTTCAAATACCTTAATATTCTTTTTGCTACAAGCCAATGAGATTCAGTTGGACAAGACATGAATCTACTAATAAGACTCACTCCATACGTCAAATCAGGTCGAGTTGCAGTCAAGTACATAAGACTGCCAACCAACTGCTTGAACAAAGTTTCATCAACTTTGGTTCCAGCTTCATCTTTAGATAACTTTGTGCCTGAAACAATAGGATTCTTCACTGAATTACTTTTATCCATTCCAAATCTTGCTAAAACTTCACGAGCATACTTTCTTTGACACACAAATATCCCATCTGGACTTTGTATCACCTCAACCCCGAGAAAGTACCTCATCCTCCCCAAATCAGACATGTCAAATTCCAACTTCATTGAATTCTTAAATTCATCACACATACTCTTATCATTTCCGGTATATATTAAATCATCAACATAAAGGCTTACTATTAAAATTTTACCTCCCTCCTTAGCCTTTGTGAAAAGTGTGTGCTCACAAAAACACCTTTCAAAGCCTTCTTGGACAAAATAAGCTTCTATTCTGTTGTACCATGCCCTCGGTGCTTGCTTCAAGCCATACAACGCCTTTCTTAACTTGTAAACTTTGCCTTCTTCTCCTTTCTTCTCATATCCCAATGGTTGTTGCACAAAGACTTCTTCTTTAAGTTCACCTTGAAGGAATGCGCTCTTTACATCTAGTTGAAAAATATCCCAACTGTTTTGAGCTGCCAAAGCCAATATCAATCGAATGGTGTCAAGTCTGGCCACCGGAGCAAAAAATTCAGTATAATCAACTCCATACTGTTGTGCATACCCCTTCGCCACTAGCCTTGCTTTGTGCTTGTCTATCTCTCCATTCTCGTTAAGTTTAGTCTTAAAAACCCACTTAACTCCGATTGGCTTCACTCCTTCTGGTAGGACAGTCAGCTCCCATGTTTTGTTCTTTTCTATTGACTCAATCTCTGCCATCATTGCATCCCTCCATTTCTTGCTCTTGACAGCTTCTTCAAATGTAAGTGGATCATCTTCAGTGAGCATTATCATAGCATTCAGACCATCTTCATCTGATAAACCTTCACCTGTTTCATAGTCTGCCATCCATAAAGGTGCTCTTCTTACCCTCCCTTCATTCAAAATCGGCGAATCATCCTCATTTGATTCACTAGAAGGTGAACCAATTTCACTTGAATTTATTGTATCAACACCATTGCTTTCTTCTTCATCGCTTTCTACTATCTCTTCCGTGTCACTCTCATCGTCATCTTTCCACTGTAAAACATCAATTCTGCATTCTTCTTTGTTTCTGCCCCAATTCCAACATTCATCTTCTTCAAAAATCACATCTTTGCTAATGATGATTTTCTTGGAGACTGGATCATATAATCTATAGGCCTTTGATTTATCACTTACTCCCAACAAAACACACCTCTTGCTTTTGTCATCTAACTTACGTCTTTTCTGGTCTGGAACATGTGCATAAGCTACACACCCGAAAATTCGAAAGTAATCAACTTTTGGCTTCACACGCTCCATGCCTCTTCCGGGGTTTTGTTTTGGACAGCCACAGTAGGACATCTATTGAGGATATGCACACTCCGTATTACAGCTTCGGGCCAAAACATTTTAGGAACTTGTTTCTCAGCCAACATAGAGCGCACCATGTTCATTATCGTCCTATTTTTTCTTTCAGCAACTCCGTTTTGCTGAGGAGTGTAGGCTGCAGTCAATTGTCTGCTTATTCCTTGAACTTTGCAAAATTCTTCAAACTCATTTGAGGTGAATTCACCACCTCTATCTGTCCTCAAAGAAATGATAGATGCACCAGTCTCCTTTTCAACACAAGCTTTAAAATTTCTAAACATGGCAAAAGCCTCTGATTTTTCATGTAAGAAGTAAATCCAAGTTTTACGAGTGAAATCATCAATAAAACTTAGGATATACCTCTTATTGCTGTTTGATTCTGGTTTAATAGGCCCACATGTGTCTGCGTGCACAAGTTGTAGCTTGTGTGAAGCTCTCCATAAGCTTTTCTTAGGCATGGAGTTTCTGTGCTGCTTGCCGGTTAAACATTCTATGCATGGCTTCTTTGGAATCTTGAGTGAAGGCAACCCATTTACCATCTTCTTATAAAAAAGTGTCCTCAATCCCTTGTAGTTTAAGTGACCAAACCGACAATGCCAAAGGTGAGATTCATTTTCTGACACAGTTTGAAAACATGTAGAATCTTTTGGCATCATGGTAGCCAACAAGAAAAACATTCTACTTCCACTTATATCTGTCTGCATAATTAATCCTTTCTTAGGATGATGTACCTTACACTTCCCATCCTGAAACAAAATAGCTAAGCCCTTTTCTTGAAGTTGCCCTATGCTTAATAGATTATTCTTGAGTTCAGGAATGTAGTAGACATCAGAAATTACCTGAGTAAGTTCACTCACTTGCATACGAATACTGCCTTTTCCCACAACAGCCATTCTAGTGTTGTTACCAAGTTTTACAGTTTGCCTGAAGCTTTCGTTCAGCTCTAAGAACCACTCCTTGTTTCCACTCATATGATTGCTACAGCCGGAGTCAAGAAACCACACTTCTTCCTTCTTGGTTTTTTTGAGTTCAACATAGGACATCAATAACAACTCTTCTTCTTCTTCCAATTGAGCATAGTTGGCCTTTTTCTCCCAATCAGGACACTCATATTGATAGTGTCCTAACTTGTGACATTTGAAACACTCGATAATAGCTTTCTTGAAGGGCTGTCTATCCCTTCCTCTGCCTCGGCCTCCTCTAAATGCACCTCTACCTCTTCCTCGTCCTGCTCTGGCTTCATGGGAGATCGGTAAAACCTGCTCTTCTTCTCCATGGCTTCTCATCCTTTGCTCATGAACAAGAAGACTACTTTGCAGCTCATCAATAGTCATTGTGTCCAAGTTGTTGGATTCTTCAATCGAGCATACCACATAATCAAATTTTGAGACCATTGACCTCAAAATCTTTTCAGTAATAATTTTTTCACTCATACTTTCATCATGAGCCTTCATTTTGTTGACTATGGCTAGAATACGAGAAAAATAGGCATTGACTATCTCTCCTTCCTTCATATGAAGAATCTCAAAATCTCTGCGTAAAGCTTGCAATTGTGCCCTCTTGACCCTAGTTGAACCTTGAAATTTCTGCTTCATTGAGTCCCAGATATTTTTGGTTGTGTCCCTGTTGAGGATTGTTTCAAGAACATCACGATCTATTGCTTGGAAGAGATAATTCTTTACTCTTAAGTCCTTCAACTTCTGCTCCTCGATCAATTTGCGTTGTGCCTCTGTAGGCTCTGCTCCATCTGCCACCACCATTATTCCATTCTCAACTAGACCCCAATACTTTTTGGAGCAGAGAAAATTCTCCATCAACATTGCCCAATGGTCATAGTGACCATCAAATTTGGGAA